GACACACACACACAGACACACACACACAGACACACACACACAGACACACACACACAGACACACACACACAGACACACACACACAGACACACACACACACACACAGACACATACACACACACACACACACACTATATATATACTCACTATGTAGTTCTGGCTCTCCTGGAACTCACTCTGTAGATCAGGCTGGCCTCGAAGTCACGGAGATCTGCCTGGCTCTGCCTCCTGAGGCTGCACCATTATGTCCAACTCATATATTCTTTCTCCCCGCTCTTCCTCCGCGTCCCCTGAGCCTTGGTGGCAGTGGAGTTTCAGTCCCAGCACTCAATCGGATGACCCAGTGCCTGCTCAGCTGTGATGTCCTCAGTCTCTTCAGGAGCAAATTCTCCCTCCAGGCGGAGCTAACCTTTTGATATTAAGACAGGACATGGTCACCTACAGAGCTCACACTCAACCACTGTGCTATTGAGTGACCTGTAAAGAGCAGATGTTGACGTTAGTTTATAATTATTTTTGTGCTGGGCCCACATTAGTTTATAATCTCTGCGCTGGGCCTGGTTCCCTGTGGTCCTCAAGCCACGGGTGGGATGGACACGTCTGCTGGGATGGAAGCTTGCTTCCACACGTCCTCCTGTCTGTCTGTCTCTTCTCTCTTCACTCGCCCCTCTCTACTTTGCTGTACAGAAGCTTTTTAGTTTGATAAAGTCACTTGTGTTAGGTCCGAATGTGGATTCTACAGTCGAGGTAGGGGAGGTCCCCTGCTGTTACCATAAGATTGAAAAACTGGGAAGAGTGTTTTCAAGGCAATAGTTTCTTTTCTGTCCAAGTGGGTGGGTCAGTGGGTGGGTTAGCAGGTCAGCAGACTGTCCCCCTTCAGGACCTTGGGGTCTTTGTTATCTTTTAGCACCTGGCTTCCAAGGAACTCATTCCTGCTAACATTTTACATTAATTATTTTTATTATTAAGAAATTTTCTATTCACTTTACATACCAATCACAGATCTCTCCCCTCAAACCCACCCCCCATCCCCACATTTTCCACTAACTTTTTTTTGAGGGGGGCGGCTTTTCAAGACAGAGTCTCTCTGTGTAGCCCTGGCTGTCCTGGAACTCGCTCTGTAGACCAGGCTGGCCTCACACTCACAGAGATCCGCCTGCCTCTGCCTCCCAAGTGCTGGGATTAAAGGTGTGCGCCACCACTGCTCAGCTGAAAAAAAAAATAGATTTTTTTTTCTCAGATTGGAGGTGCATCTCAATGCTTGCACAAAATCTTGGGCTTAACCCCCATCATTGAAAAGTACACACAGGTTGACAGACACCACTAACACACTGGTACGCGGAGGACACGGACCTCGGTGACAGAATCAGAAGTGACTGGGGTCCGAGTCTCCACACGGTTCACGTCTTACCCGCTTGGTGTGCTTCTGCAGTTCATGTTGTGGAAGCGCTTGAGTGATGTGAGACATGCTCGCCGAGCGAAGTCCAAACGGACCGGGTCTCAAGAAGCACAGAACAGAAACTCCAGTGTGCCCGCCGTCCTGACCTGCTAACCTTGTCTGTGTGGGAACGGACTAAAGGCGGCAGCGTCCCGTTTTCGAGCCTAGGGCCCAGTCACATGGCTGTCCCCAACTGCAGGATGCAAATGTGCTGAGGAAAGCAGCCCCCTGGAGGGGCTGATGGTGGAGGGGAGTGCTCTGGGGACAGCCAATCCCCGCAGCCGCCATCGGAGAAGGGAGGCAAACGGACTGCCGGGGGCCTGTCGGAAAGGCTAGAGGGCTCGGCTGTGGGTCAGGCCTGTGGGGGGGTCCTTAGACAGCCCTTTTCTCCTGTGAACAGGTTTCAGGGACCCAACCCCCGAGACCCCGCTCCTGGGCGGCCGCAGACAGCCGCCACCGGCAGGTGCCGCCGGCCTTGGGAAGACGAGTGATGACCGCTGAGCTCCTGGGCAAGCATCTGGCCTCCCTGCAGGGGGCAGCCAGGTCAGGCCTGCAGTGGTCCTAGAGCTGCCGGCCCTCCCACTGCACGCACACGCACACACACACACACACACACACACACACACACACACACACACACCACCCAGAACGCAGCCAGGTCAGGCCTGCAGTGGTCCTAGAGCTGCCGGCCCTCCCACTGCACACACACGCACACACACACACACACACACACACACACACACACACACACACACAC